ATCCCACGCGGGAGAGAAGTACTTATGATAAATTTTCCAAAATTTAATGTGGCGCTGAATCCCGGTACAGAACGTTTTAAAACTTTGCCGAAAGTTTTATTTTATCCTGCCTATCATAATTCGATAATGAGAATGGTTTCACCGTTTCCTTTTATAAGTATAAGTACTTAAAGCTAAAATTAAGTTTGTTTTTGCTGAACATACTATTTGTATGGAAGCCTATGGTGTCACAAAAATGATACCAACGTGTTCACCGATGATTGGGCAGTTTTTTTCATTCCATTATTGTAACATCAACTGAGCCATCAAAATGTACGCCTTGGAAAGTGCTGGGAACTGTTTTGAGCCATCTTATTAAATTGATTTTCAGATAGTATTTCCTGAAGATTCCTTAGCCTGCAGCTCTTCAAGTAATCTGCGAGTTCTTCGTCATTATCAATAAACTTTGAGAAAGAAAAAAAAAAACGAAGAAATTTTTCCCCCTAATTTACGATTGGGTAGCGACGATGAAGAAATTATCCGGTTTTGTCTGGAAATTGTTTGCATGAAGTCGTATTAAGAGTAACTGAGGGTCCGTATGGCCGAAGACAAATAATTATGCTGAAACCCTTACGCCCAAAATTTCCTCCATCCTTCGGTCTCCTGAAAGACTGAAAAACAAACCATGATCTGCTATGATACAATCCACGCATGTGTCACGTAGCTAAAGTGTGTTACATGTGCACGTGACTGGCTGATAACAGTTACGGAAAATGACTGACGGGGCCTGGGAACTGCATCTGTACCCGGAAGCACCCAAGATCACCCAAAGTGCTTTCCCTTTGCTGAGGTGCTACCTTGTGTTGGTTTTGTTCGAACTTTGTTTGTTTTGCCATATTTTCCGTAACTGCACTCTTGGCCATTGGAAGGAAAGACTCTAAAAGATCAACTGAAGAGATGGGGCCTCGCTGAAGGTAAGCCAAAAACGTTTGTATTGTAAATTGATAAGCACATTTACGAATCATATAGGCATGCGGGCTAACATGCAAGCGGTTAGCCTATAAAATAACAGTCTGGTTAGCCTAAATAGAACCTGGTTAGCCTGAATAACCCCCCAGCTCCCCCTAAAAGGTTGTTAGCTTGCGATTGGCCTTTGAGCCCGTTGGGATCGTTAGGCTCACTTGCTGGTTTGCCATATGACTCAGTCTCGTTACAGCAGACACTCTATGTGATGCAATAATGACTGAATGAAAGTTTATTGCACACTTCCAAAAATGGGTTTTTCGGTGAACAATACTAATTCAATAAAAATACAATTAAAATGCAATAAAACTACAATAACAATGCAATAAAAATACATTAAGAATACGATAAAAATAGAATAAAAAATGTAATAAAATAAAATGTAATAAAAATACAATAAAAATACAGTGAATTAAAAAGTGTGAATAATGTGGGGCCTCCTTTATTCAAAATAAATTGGGCCATGGAAGTCTAAATTTACAACATTACCTTGCTGCTTTTCAACACCAAATGTGTTGATACATAGAGCGTGATCATACTGATGACATGCTGATGGTGATCATGATCTTACTGACGAGTCCTCTATCAATCAATGTTTATAAAGAATGGAATTCTCCTGGCGTACTTTAGGGACTGATCGTTTGTCACATCCCAGGGGGGGACGGTGGTTTTCAAAATAGCATAGACATAGGGTTTCAAAACTGAACCTCCCCAGGATATTTTCAGATAAAAATTTAATAGTCCCTTCCCAATTTTTATTTTAAAAATGTGCCTCCTCCCACCTCCCCTCTTCCTTAGCATTTTGTCTTTTTTGGAAGCAGAATTCTTATCTCCACTTTTATTTTTTAAAATCCTAGTAAACTTTCTAGCTGCTTGTTCAACTCTTGATAGCAACGAGGACATTTCATTACTCATATCTGATAGTGATTCAATCAGTCTGACATTACTGATGTGATGAAACATTTGCCACTCATGCTCAAGGGTTCTCCCATTTGTATTAAACAATGATCGACAGGGTTTTCCCTACAATTTTTCCTTTGGGAGTCCCTTGGACTCCTTCAACCTAAGGTTGAGAGTCCAGAAGAAAAAAGTGGGGCTCCCACGGTTAGAGTTTTAAATTCCAGGAGAACAATCTAATCTTTTGGCCTTCCCCTTTTAGTGAAGTTTCTTCTTTCTTTCTTCTGGTACATGTATGTAGTGGTTTGGGAAATACAGCACTGTACTGTATTCCCTAATTTCTTTTCAATGGAGACATCACATGTTTCATCAAGCATCAG